CAAGCTCTGTAAATGACACACTAAATACATGGCACTGATGCTAATTAGGAACTTTCATTATGAACATGTGAGGGCAGTCCACAAGCATTACAGAAGGAGTATCAGAGTACTGAGGAGACAACTTGATTCCTTTAGCCAGGAAAATTGAACCAGATGTTTATCAGACAACCTGAGCAGGGCATCAAAAGTATCAAATAAACTTTGTTAAAGGCCTTATCCAGAGCAAGTTTGATGCTTCTTGTTGACATCCAAAAAGAAGTCAGCTTCCAAAAAATCTTCAGCCATGGAAGTCTGAGATAAGGTTTGTATCCACCCACTGAGGACATTATCAAGTAAACTAGCTGAGATTACCATTATATATTCAGAAATCTGTGAAAGAGACTGCTGAGAACTGAACTTACGTGGAAAGTAGCAGTGCTAATGATCATTTCACAGGGAAGTCTTGCTCTTCCTTTCATTTCTAACACAACCGGAATTCACTGCGTTATGTAGGCAAGGAATTAATGACAGGTGGGGCTTTCTTCTGTTTACACACAGTTGCATTCAATGAAACTTTACTGACCCCTTGCTCATTCTCTCATTACCATTTGGGACAGGCACAAAACAGCATTGCCACTGCTGCAAAGACAACATCAAGAAATCAGAGGGAAGATTTTGAGAAGTTGGGGTTCTCTCAAGCTGAGTTAGCCTTTAGCTTTAGGTCCATCAGTTTTTTTTATCCCCTTGTGCAAAAGAACACTTGTGTTGCCTGGCAATTGTAGTAATAATGAATAAAGAGGAGTGACTAATGAAGAAAATTCACAATTAATGTCTTCCTGAACACACTGAGAAGGAGGATGGGCAGGGCAAGATGCAACACAGGGGTTCTGGAATACTGACTGAAGCTCTAGCTGCAGATCTGCAGAGACTTCCTTCCAATCATGCAGCATGCAGGAACCTTACTTACCATGTGCTGAAGATGCTGTTCACACAGGGTGAAGAGAGAGGCCGGTCTTTGAGCTCAAGAGGCCTGGTTCTGAAAATTAATTGCAGTGCCAACACCTTGCAGCTAGGTATTTCACACTTACTGAATGTTAATGGCTTAAGTCATGACAAACTACAGGTTTTCCTTAGCTGAAAAAGTGTTTCTCACTGTATAAGACAAAAGTGCCCCCCACAAGATGAATGCTTTTGGGGAAGGCACGGTAAGCAAAAAAAAAAAAGAAAAAAGCTGAAGCCTATCTGAGAAGAAAAAATAAGAGGGAAAAATTGTTTGCTCCAAAATCAGGCTTTCACTCTTGAAAACTAACAAATAAGGGGCAAGGAAAAGAAAGAATTAGACGAACATGGTAAAAATAGATATACTACACAGAAAAGATAGAGAGAGGGAAAAGGCTACAAAAGGGTCAATGTTAAGTGAAAATTGTTTTCACTAACATATAAGGCACTGCAGCTTAGCAGAATTATGCAGCATTCTCTTTGGTTATGCAGAAGTAAATGAAAAAATGAGGAATGACATTTTGTTATGATTGAATAAAAGGCCTAGTCTGTATGCCTGCAATACCAATATTCATTAAAGGCACATATTCAAAAAGAGAAATGTTCTCCTCCCTAGATGGAGGTGTCAGAGACTGGGGCTGAGAACAAACCCCACCAGTTAGGTTTCTTACGTGATACCGAGATTCTGTTTCCATGGAACAGCTGAATAAAAGGAAAACCAAGATTGGTCAATAGCTGTGAACAAAATGAGGAGGCTACATCCACACAAGAGAACTATTTATCTGCCTTCTAACAATGGCACAGCTGCACAATGCTATCAGTTGTGTTTCATGTACACAGGAATCTTATGGCCTGACACAGACCGATGTACAGAGAGTACTAATGTCTGTGCAATATTGCTGCAAACATGAGGGAAGCACTTCCTCAAAGCAGATACTGTTAGAAACAAAGAAATACGGGGAAGAATGGCTAGGAAACTAAAACAGCTGTTGCTGCTGTCCGGAGAGTTTCTTTTCTGACACAGTGCTAAGAAAAGCTGTCAGAAAACAGATCCTTTTATGAAGTAAGAGAAGACTGGGAATATGGGAGGAAAAATTACTTCCTGGCAATTTTGTATGTTGTATCATGACAGACTGACGTGTTTTCATGCTTCAGGGATAAAGGCAATGACTATCACTCAAAGCAGAAATAAATATTTTGTCCTTTGATCTCTACTTCTTTTAAAGGTCAAAAAATTTCTCAAACTGAACAATTAGAAGCAGCCCATCAAATAAGCAATGAAAGGTTTGATAATTTCATGGAGACACATGGTAGTTATCACTGACATAGTGATGTAAAGCTCTTTAAATTTTATACTGAAATACAGGAAAACAGAATTCCTGTCATTTCATAGGTACTGTTTCTGCTTGTATATCCTATTTAAATGTAGTATCCAAGATCATAGAAACACAATCCTGTTTAGGTTAAAAGACCTCCAAGTCATCTAGTCCAACACCCTGTGCAAAGCAGATCCAATTAGATCCAGCTGCTTGACTAATCCAGCTGAGCTGTTAGTATCTCCAAAAATGGAGACCCCATGACGTACATGACAAAACTCTATGCTAATTTTTTCTCAATAATGACTTCTGTTATTGTTTAGAGTACTGGTGGCTCCAATTCCATGACAGCATTCTTTATATCATGTTAGAAGAGAAGACTGCCTGGTCTTAAGAATCATAACCATAAGAAGATCCTCTATTTGAGGGTAGATAAGTGAAAAATCTTAGAGGCAGAGATGACTGATTGTTAATCAGGTCAAAGACCATTCATTTAAATTTGCATAACTTCACCAGCAAAAGCAAAAGCAGCTTTAGTTTAAAGAAAACGAGACCCTATCAGAGCTCTCGGTTTCCACCCTCAGAGTAAAGCTCATTTTGTCTACAACTTAAAGGCTGAATCTCAAATATACACATTATCCATGGAAAACAAAAAGGGAAGGACTGCAGAGAGCTGGTTGCCAGGGGACTGCTGCAAAACCATGCCTGCTGGCTGTGACTCACAGGCAAGTACTAAAATTTATCTGCATGTCAGCAGACCTTGCTGTTCACCCCTAACAGTGACACACCAAGTGAAGATCGGTTATTTGGGTTTAAGCATGAGACACAAAATTCCTATTCCAGAACTCCTGAATATTTTTGAATTTGTATTGCTCCTAGCATAAACAGGCAGAAAAGCTAAAAGAATTCTGGAACAAAATACTTTCACAAGTACCCAAACCTTTGAAACTTGATCCACATTTTTAAAGAATAGTCTTTAGCACTGCTGAGAAATAAGGACTAGTTTGCAAAACATGTTCTATTTTAATTGTAGGAAAAAGGTTTGTTTTTGTTTTTGTTGAAAACACACAGAGGATCAGGTAAAAACTTGGTACAAACACATGGATGCATGTTTTAGGGAAGAACCACACTGCTTTTACAAAGAGGAATTATACATAGTTATGGTTACATTCCCTTGCAAGTGTTTCTCTGCGCTATATGTCAGGCAAACCACGTAATAAATGTGCGAACATTCAACGGATATTCTTAATTTATTTTCTTCTTCCTTAATTGAGCACTTTCTGTTCTAGTATTGCTTCATCCTGACCTCCTCACAAGCAGCAGCACATACCACATCAGACATAAGATCTGTATACCAAGAAAACATAGCAAAGGCAGCTGAATCTCAGTAGGTGAACCCTAGACCGTGATGTTGAGTTAGAAGTTACTGTTGGGGTTTTAGGATCAAATAATACCTCCAAATGAAAATGCCAAATATATATTTGACATGCCACCTACAAAAGCAAATTCCCCAGATGAAGCTTATAATCAAGTAAGAATTTTTAAAATAAGCAAATTAAAATAAAATAATACAACATTAATAACAGTGACTTGGAAGGGGAGCCTAGTACATGAGCAGCTAGTTTGGGAAGAGTTTTTGGCAGAATGAAGCAAAACCACAGATGGTGATCATATACTGCATCCTGATATTATATGCTCTTGGTTCACTGAAAAGTATTAAAATAGTTTCTTCCTTTGTTGCTGCACTATATTAATAATGTTCATATTTATGTGTTGTAAGCATTCCTGTCTCAATTCCATAATTCAGTGTCCTCAGTTAAGTTTTCCATCTAATAGCACCCTAACAGCTTTGAAAGGCTGGCACAACAGACACTATACAGCGTATCATCAGACCAATAATTAAATCAATCTAATCAACAAATTAGGCTACACCACCTGTGACTCTAAGAAAATGGTGGAGCTAAAAGACTTTTCACATTGTAGATGTAAATACATGCACATTTAAATATTTAATGTGTTGGTAGTTTAAGTAATGTCCTAGCGGTTAAAAAGCACTTGCAGTATTGGAAATTCAAAATGTGATCGTGCTGGTTCATCTGACAACTTTTTAAGTTGCTGTAACTTAAAGAAGAAACAAGTCAGAGATCAGCCTTTTCATCAAAACTCCTTCAGAGTTTCACAGCCCGAGAAGTATTCACTCCTCTCAAGTGCACCAAGGATACAATTGTTGACAGAGGGAGAAGAAGGAAGAAAAATCTTTAACTATTTCAAATACCATATAATAATTAAATTTCTGGGTATATTCCAAAAGGTAACTCCTCTTTTTTCCTGAATGACCACAACATGACAAAGGGTTTAAGTGGAGAGAATTAAGCAACCAGTGATATCTTTCTCATTAAGTCATATTCCCTACTCAAGAATTGCTCTAAGGTTAGCAATTACTGACTTCATTAATTACCAGCTATCTTTTCCTGTCACATTCCACTGGTAACAGAAATATATGAATGAAGTGCTTTAAGATGTGCTGCTAGAAAAGGTCCTAGTTTTCCTTCACAGACATCCATGCTAGACACTACCCACAAAAGCACTACATTCCAGACCCAGTGACAACTTTCTACAGAGAAATTGAAAAGATGTTCCTACTTCAAACACTGTGACTGTGAAATATATTAGTTCTAAATACAGCTATTAAGACAATGTACTTACTTAGGCTACTCAGTTGTCTGATTATATTTGCCAAGGAAATATTGGTGACACATTCCAGCTCATTCTTGATACCTCGGGGCAGAGCTGTGTGGCACAAGTGCCTGGGGTCTATGTTCCTTTTTACCAGCGGCATTCTGAAATGTATCAGAGGACCAGCAAACCTGTGAAGAAAATAGACACAGTACTGTTACAATTTTAATTGTAAATATTTTACATTCAGGTTATGTCTGAAGTTAAAATGACTAATCTTAACAGATAAAAATAGCTCCAGTAGTACTGATAGAATTCCTTGCTCTGTGAATACCTAAATATTTTCTTCCTTTCCCAAAGAAAGATTATTTCATTCTCTCTAAATCTTTACCTGATTCAGAGTCCACTGAAGTGCCAAGTAATTTTTTACTGTTTCTGTTTTTTCCTAACCCCCCCCCCCCAAAAGACAGGAAAACCTCTGCAGACCAAAACCATTAGAGAAATATTGTGTTCGTGATGGACTACTTCCTTATTCAGTGCAAGCAAAGTCCAACAAAAAGTCCTTTTGTTATGAGGTCAAAGTCGAACTAGCTGTCGTCTATTATAGTTGAAAGGTAGGTGTGATTCATTCATTGTGTCATGTTACCAGCAGGAGTCACCCTTCTAATCTGAACATCACTTCTAAATCATACAGAGTCAATACAGAGTCAAGGTAGGGAAAGGGAAGATGTTGCCCTTCTCCCTACACTGCTACTGACAATTAATTCAGCTAACAATGCATCTTCCAAATATGAAAGTCTCCGCAGTAGACTTGTAGTGCAATTCCCTCCAGGACTCAGAAATCCTACCCCTTCACAGTTTTCAAATTCAAATGGTAAATACATCAAGAGTCTTCGCTAGTTTTACAGACAGCACAAGAATTGTCTCAGGCTGTGAATCCCAGGCTGATAATTTTCTGCACCCATGACACTGACTGGAAGGAGTTTCCCAGAGGGCAAGTTACATCCCTCATCTTATTAGTACTGCTTATTAAGACCCGTTTACTAACATGCTTCTTCACCAAAAGCTGATTCCCTAAAATTCTGTATTTTTCCATCATTTGTCATGTAACACTCTGACAAAACTCCCACTTGATATACAGAGAATGGATACACTTAGTGTTGGTGTAACTTATATTCTCCCCTCCCACTGCAGAAGAGATCACACTTTCTCCAGACCAAAGGAAAACAGGTTTTCCACAACGCAATCCATATGCAGTCCTAGTCCCTCAACCACCCAAGCCTGCCTGTTTCATCTGTCCTCTGCTTAGAAGTTTTGCCCCAAAACATTCTCAAGATGCAGCCAGGGTTTTTGTAGAGTCACAGAATGCACTTTCCCTACACTATATATTTAGCCACTGTTATCCTTACTTGGTCAAAACTGAGAGGGTGTTTTTGCATAATAGGATAAGATAGAGGTGAAATTTTGCTGACCTAGAATGGCACAGTGAATTAGAAGATGCAAAGGTGACTGTAAAGGAGTACTTTCGCCTCGCAGACTGCTTAGATTTCTCCTTGCCTGGTTTCCTGGGAGTATGTTCTTTCACTGGAGCCAGGGCTCATCGCTGAGGGACCCAGGTGGGATCCTTAAAGTGCACCTGAGAAACACCTCTGTGTTTCCAAGATCCGATTGCATCTCATTCATTGCATTTCAACATCATGTCTACCACCCTTATTTTCTGGACAGAACTATCAAAATACTCTACGCTTTCTATTGATTTTTATTTTCTAGAAATATCCCAAATCTTTCTAGCCACCAAGTACCTAAGTCCTGAAAAGCCAGACTTTACACACCAACGAAATAAAATAAAAAGTGCAAATCTGAATGCAGTGTCAGAGAGAAGCAATGAAGAAGTGTTCATGAACGTTTAACTACAGGTTCATTATCATGGTTCCCCAAGAGAAAATAAAGGAACTGTTCTGTCCCTGTCAAAGAAACACATCAAATGATACATCAGCAATGTTCTACAGAAGCAATTAAATATTAATCCCAAAGTTGAGCCCTTTCTTGATTACTGCTTTAATGACAGTGTTGCATAAATACCAAGTAGACAAGTCTTTTAAAGATGGTCCAAACAAGTATGTAAATAAATATTTTCACAGAAAAATTTCACACTTTCAACATTTTCTAATATCTGAATAATGCTGTTGTGGGTGTCCTATACAAACTCATAGTATAACAAAAAAAGGTAGCAGTAGGAGCAGTAAGTATGCTGAAAGGTGTAGTTTTCAAAGAGGAATAAATTTGGAAGGGAAACAAACAACAGAAGATATAACTGACACCTTCAAAAATATTCCTAATATTTGAAAACTATGCAAAGCCTAAAGAGAGGATATTTACCAGATTCCCACAGAAACAAAAGAAGGGAGGCAACAAAGGAAAATACCACTTAAAACAAAGGAAAAGGCATTTCACACAATGTTTAATAAATTCTGAAACTAATTGCCACGGGATGCTCTATTCAACAAAAGTACCTGCTGGTAATTTGTCCACTACGGACCTCATATTCCTTGCAGTTTGTTGCAATTACTAGAAGGTCTTGATGGTTCCTTCCCAATTGCAACTAGTGATCCCAACACAGGGAGTAACGGGTGTGGAACAGCAAATGGAACTTTACTGTACTCACACAATTTCTTCACTCCTATAAAAGATATTTTTCCTAAAGTAGTTCATAAAAAGAAAGCTGAAAAAAACTGAAAGCACTGTTTATTACATGGCTTTAGAGCTGTGAAAGAGGAAAAAACAAAAAAGGCATTGTTACAATCTCTTATATGCTTTAGGCAAAATGCAAAAAAAATGCACACACCCTCCCCCCACCCCACTCCTCCCCCCATCCCAAACCATGCATTACTCAAGTCACTGGGGCAGCAAAGGAAAAATTCATTCCTAGATCATGAAATCCTGTTACCATGTCACTCCCAAGTAAGCCCTGGAAAGCGCTGGTAACCCCAGCAGGCAGAAGAGAGAAGCAGCTTGTCAGTGCATAAGAAGGTCCCTCGGCTGAGAGGTTACATGACACCTCCTCAGAGGTTCGCAGCTCTCCTGTCACACAGCTCTCCCTCCCCTCAGCTCCGCCGCCTCGGAACTCAATGGGGAAAGGCAATCCTCAAACACAGCCAGCTCCTCTCCCCTGCAATTCCATGCAAACCTTGGCAGGCAGCTCTTCTGGAGTGAAGTGGCACTAGTTTGCACTCAGTTAACTGGAAGTACTTTACTCCATAGGGATCTTAAAATGAAACTCTTCTTTACAAAGAGATGCCGATGTCTTTTGGAGAGCCACTATTGAAAACTCTTTTGCCCCACTTCCTATACATCCTTTGAAGCACTCTGAATCCACTTGAGAAGCCAACTCTAATCTTCTTTGCAAAACCCTTTGCTACTTCACTTGCACAATGGCTGGCACAAACTCATCCCCCTCACATATGCTTCCAGTATGAGTATAGAATACAACTGTGTGTACATAACAGTTATGCCTAATGTTTTTGTTAAGCTACCATGCTTTCATATGTGATTTTTCAGGAATTAGCTAAAATGCTTGAGTTGCTTTTTAATTAGTTCCTATTACTTAAAAAACTAGCAGAACAACGGCACTAAAGAGAGCTAATTAAAATGTTTTCAGAAGAATAGCCTTAATGAGATTTGATCACACTTCTTATCAAAAAAGCACGTTGTTGAGTGTGTTGCAAGTCCTCTACAGCTATTAGGGGTCTTAAGGGGTGAGTGAGATTTCTGTGTCTCACAGTTCTCCAGCAGTGCTCAGAAACCTGCTCTCTCAGGGTACCTGCTCTCTCAGGGTACCTGCCCCCCATGCCCACAGCCCCTGGCTCTGGGCAGGACAGGGTCCCTGGCTGCTGATGCTCAGAGAAGGCCCTGGGGAGCACTGGGGTGGGGAACAAGCTACCACTTTCCCTTCATCACCCTCCTGCAGGAATATTTCAGAATTGCAAGATGTGTGGAGAAATGTTACATGGTTTACTAGAAGCTCGTGAAAAATCTGAGATGTCAGTAGTCACAGTAATAATTCAGGTTTTCTAACAAGTACAGGGAGACAAGTAGGAATGAAAGCACCACAATAAGGTGGGGGAAATGAAACCTGCCCCACAGTTTAACTAAAAATTAAATTCCACTTCAGTTTCTTTTTCAGATGACTAATGAAATTTCATGATCACATGGTTTTTATTAATGAAAGTTTACTTCTGATTAGGCTACATTTCATCCTTACTAAAAATGTCATTATTTTCTTAGCATTAATGAAAGATATTAATCTATTATTTTTTCTATACCATGCTAATATTCCAGCACTGAATGCCTTTGCTTTGATGGAGTCAAATTTATTTCCAGTCATTTTTAGAGTATATCTTTAGACCTCAGTATTACTTGTAATTTTCCTTTAACAATATGAAACAGCAATGCCTTTCATATGCCCCATTTAATTGATCACGTTCCAGCTGCTGGCAGAACAGACCACAGTTTCAAATGCAACAATCAATTTAACACTTCTCCCACCCACTCTAGGAAACACAAATAGAATATATAATAGTTTTTATATTTGCTTACATAATCATGTACTAACTGCATCTACGCTATACACAAGCTAATAAAAAAATCCTGCAATGTGTTAACAAATCTGGTAAAATCAAAATTGCATAAGTTAAAAAAACAAGCTCATTCTCCAGGCAAAATTTCTTTTAACTGTATTACAAGACATCATAAGTCATACCAGTTGCAGAAAATCCAAAGTTGAAGTTCTTATAATACACTCCTCTACTATGGAAGGCAAATGTGCAAAGAGTTTGTGTTCCTTGTTTTTCTGCAGCCCTCACTGCAAGATCAAGATCAGTTTAAGTTTAAGAAGAAGCAGACACCTACAGAGTGGTGTCCTTCAACAAAGTAGGCCACCACCACCTACTGCTGAGTCAACATAACGATTTTAAAACTCTAAAGGCAATTAACATCCCTTAAAGGATACATCTCAGATCTGACAAGATGACATCTTAAATTGGCAATTCAACAGAAATGTGTTAAAATTACAGTTTTGAAATCCTTTCTGTTTGTGAGCCATGTCGCAGAATGGAAAACCTTCTCCTTGGAACATTTCCCTCAAATCTCAGTCTTCTGTAACTCACTTTCAAATTTTTTTTTTAACTTCAACTAACTAGGAAAAGACTTTTTTGCAACTAAAAAAACATGTGAAAGCAAATAAACATGGAATATATTACTGGAATGTGATGTTGACATCACTGCTCTTTAGGAACGAGCATAACATGAATCATTGGCATCATAAGACCTCCTATACTAGATTGTGTATTCAAAAAAGTTGTTACACGTTTATAGAATCATGGACTATCCTGAGCTGGAAGAAATCCATCACAATCATCAAGTCCAACTCCTGGCCCTGCACAGGACACTCCAAGAATCACACCATGTGCCTAAGAGTGTTGTCCAAACACTTCTTGAAATCAGACAGGCTTGGTGCTGTGACCACTTCCCCGGGGAGCCTGTTCCTGTGCCCAGCCATGCTCTGGGTGAAAAACCTTCTCCTGATATCCAATCTAAACCTCCCCTGCTTCATGCTGCTCCCTTGAGTCCTGTCTCTAGCCACAAGAGTTTGGTCAATCTAAGGAGCAATACCTATAAAGGGCATAGAATGGAAGTTGATAATTTTTTTCCATTAAGTCACAGAGTCACCTCTAAAATATTTCATATTTCCTCTGTAGTCACAAATATGAAAAATACTGTTCCCCAACTAATAACAACAATCTCTCAAAACATTCTTTAAATATTCTGTTGCTGAACTGATGGTAAGATTATCTGGGGATAGATTAATATGTCAATGGGTCACAGAAGGCTCTAGCTCAATAACATTGTATAGGACAGCATTTTATTATCACGACAGTAATTAAATTGCAAAAACCAGCCTACTTCACATAACTATAAAATATATTTTAAATTAATTTGCACTATTTATTATCTATTTAATATTGACTGATATTGGAATATGTATCCCAATATAACCAGTTAGATGGTGCCTAGGCCAGTTCTGACCTTCGCTGCTGGGCCACAGGCAGCACTGCGGTGTTTTACCCCAGAGATACCTTGGCTGGCGGCAGAGTGCAGCGGGGCACAAGACAGGACTCCGTTTACCTCAGGGGAGAGCTTCTGGCGATGGTGAAGAGAAGAAGGGAGCGGATTCTGCTAGAAGGTAGCCAGATGTTTATTCCATGAGCACAGATATGTCTGCACTGGGCCACTGCCGGTAACAGAATACCGGTCGCATGATCTCATTAACTTTATAAGCTTGGGGACAGGGGAAGGGGAGGGGACAGGTGAGTTACCAACCAGGTGAAGGGGGCAGGGTCTCAAGGGAGGATGACACTTAGACAGGCCAATGACCCCCAGGCCTGAGGAGCATCCTTTGAAATCGACGAATCACACGACGCCTTGCTGGTATGTTAGCCTGATTGACAGGGCACACTCAGCAAAGGGTGAGGGGGAAGGGAGAAGGGATAGGTACACATGGGAAGGGCCCCGGAAGTTTAAAACCGGACATTGCAACACACCACAACAGACTGACTTCCATATTGTATTAATTGTCTGGGGCAATTAGTATTTTCCTCCTATAGAACAAACTGTAATCGTATCAGCACATCTGTCACATCAGATAAGCAGAAAAGTGAGTACGGTCACAAACATGGGTAGGACTTGAGTTCTACTCAATCTCTAAGGCATAATTACAGTGTTAAAAAATTATTTTCCAGCAACTACCATCCAGCCAATTTTCTCTCGGATGTGTATCATAAGTCTCTCCCCTATGCCTGTATGCACACCTGCACACATACCTGTACACTCATCTTTAAAGCATACAAATCAATTTGGATTTGATCACAGACACAAACTACAGCCACATCTACTTCCTTGTCAAAATTTAAAAGTTTAATACGTATTCAGCAAAACAAATGAAAAAAGGGCAATATTTTTTTACACTGGAAAAACAAAAGCTATATTTTAAGCCCTATGTAGCTTGTGACTACCATGAATTAGTATTGTCAAAGTGAAGGCAGTTTTGGCAAGCTATGGGTGGAAAGAAATTGAGAGATTAATAATTTGTATGCTGACTTTTAGGAGCTTTATCTGTGATAAATTTGCTTTTCAAGAAAATCTTAAATAGCCACTGTCACTGAGATGGCTCTGGTGGTGGCAGTGTCAGCAGAGTTCTCAGTTTGGGCAGCGGAGCAAACTACAACTCCCCAGTAGCAATGCACCAAGTACAACCTCATTAACAGAAACAGCAGCAATATTTCAGAGGAGAAAGTTGATGTATCTGTTCATTATTACAGGGGCTACCTCAAGTTTGAGAGGAAACACCAGCATATTTTCAGCGAGTGAAGCTGCAATCTGGGTCAAGTCAATGAGCTCTGTGTAACAAAATACACCATCATAGCAGGAGCAACCACTCCCCACCCTGTGAGCCCAGCCCTCAGGGCTTGCACACCATTTCCCATTCTGCTGGGGAAGATAATTTACCTTTCCACCCTGGCTACAACCAGCTCTTTAACTTTGGGCTTTCCTCAGTGTCCCCACTCACTTGT